TTGGGCTAGTGACAGCCACAGATATATGATGGTATTGCCACAAGGTTATAACAGAGCTGAAAAATCCGTGTTGCCTAGTGCTGTTATAGGTGTCTTAACATCAGTACCTCAAGGTACTTCCCACATATTCAGGGTAATGCTGATGTGAAAAAACTACTGTGCTGTCAGTTGAATGTAAGGGCAGCACCTGTACGGAGGTCCGGTACATAGTAGTTGTAGCGATGAGGACTGTGACTGATTCTGGCATGTACTGTGTTGTACTTTTTATTGTTACCTTCTAAGGTAACACTCCTTCCACTCGTAAGAGTTTACTGTACAGCCCTCTGCTATGCTTTCTAAGCTCTTGACAGTGTCATTTGATCTCCTGTTTTCTTTATTCTCATGTCCTTTTATTCATCAAGGCCCTGAGAGCAATGTGCTATGTCCTGTGTCCACCATGTAGCCTAGGTGTGTGGCAGGCCACACCAGCTAGACTTGTGTAAATACACTCTGATGTTCACACAGTGGGGAAACCACGAGGATGAAATTCTCAGAAAGAATTCTTATTGTTAAGCAACATGTCTGTCTTTATCGCTTGCTTTCTGTAGCTGATTTATGTTTTAAAATTTAGATGTTTAATTCATTTATGTTTGGCACGAGAGAGAACTTACTCTTGTCATTTTACTAATTGCTTGATTTCTGCCCCTCCTTTCCTTTCGTGCCTCCTTCTTTGTCTTAGGTAGAGATTTGGTCATAGTGACACGTTTCAATTGCCTTCTTATTTTCTTTTGTGCATACGTTAGAAATACTAGATTTGTGGTCGCTATTGCAATTACATAAAAATCTTAATGTGATAGCAATCTATCTTAAGCTGATTACAGGTTAACTTCCATTGTATGAAAAAGTATTCTTTATGTTTGATGACACATTACCTCTTTTTATAGTGTATTCATTAGCACAGGTTTATAGTGACTTTCTGTGCTTTTAATTTGGAATTCAGTAGCAAATTTCAAAGTTATTTTCATACCTCCATTACAATATTGCAAGATCGTATAATTTTCTATTTCTGTTTACTGTAAACTTCCATGTTTTCATGCAGTTTTCTGTTGCTGTATATTGTTCTGTTTGGGTGTGAAGGATACCCTTTAGCATGTCTTGTAGGATAGATCCCTCAGCTTGTATTTATCTTGGAAGCTTTTAATTTCTCCTTTATATCAGAAGGACAGTTTTCCCATAATGTGTCCTTGGTTGGCATTCAATTTTTTTCCAGTGCTTTGAATATAATACCCCGCTTCCTTATAGCCCACAAGATTTCCATTGAGAAATACAATATTTTAAAACTAAAAAAAAAACTTTAAAAAATTAAATTAGGTATATAGTTTATACACATTAACATATATTTGTATGCTTAAAATATTTTAAAGAAGTGATTATTTGAAACAGCTTTGAGAATGTTCATGTTGCATTTAAATGGTGACTAAATATTTTCTTTGCTGATTATTTTTCCTCTGTCTTTTGGGCAGCTCTTGAAGTCCCACTGGCTGGATAATTTTGCAAAAGACTCTGTCAACCCTGGGGTGATGGTGCTGCTGGGCTGTGGAGCCTTATCCAGCACCTGTGGGCAGCTGGCCAGCTACCCCCTGGCTTTGGTGAGAACACGCATGCAGGCTCAAGGTGAGGTCTAGATTCAGGGATGGCCATGTACTCTTGGACCTTTGAGTTTTACCTGAGTAGACAAGGGTTAAGACAGAATTTCTTGCTCTTTTTTGTTTTTGCTTCTCCACATTTCTTTTTTAGAAATTCATTTTTATAAAAGTTTAATGCCATAGATACACTGCATGAGTCTGTGTGATTTAGGCACAAATAGTAAGACTGCTTTAGATTGTATAGAGTGTGGTTTTTGAGACAGGGTCTCCCTGAAGCCCCAGCTGGCCTGGAACTCTCTATGTAGACTAGGCTGGCCTTAATCTCACAGAGATCTTCCTGCCTCTGCCTCCTGAGTGCTGGGATTAACGGTATGTGCCACCATGCTCGGCTAGTATGTGTGTGTATGTGTTTTAAAATTTTATTTTGTGAGTATGAGTACATTGCCTGCATGTGTGTAAGTGTACCCCTATTGTGCAATGCCTGAGGAGGTCAGAAGAAGGCATGGATCCCCTGGACCTGGAGTTACAGACAGTTGTTAGCCACCATGTGGGTGCTGGGAATTGAACCCAGGTCCTCTGTAAGAGCAATCAGTGCTTTTAACCATGGAGCCATCTCTCCAATCCCTAGAAAGAGTATTTTAAGAACATAAGTTTTGATGTCTACATGTATTTGAGTTCAGATCTTTACCCCATGACTGTTTTTTTTTTTTTTTTTTTTTCTGTGAATGGGAATAAAACGAGTTAGCAGCAGTGTTTACAAAGACCTTGGCATTTGCTAAACTCTCAAGGGAAACGGTGCTAGGTTGTTAGTGAGTGCTGCTCCCACCCCACCACTCTGCACTGTGCTCTCCTCTCTGTGATACTCCTCCGCTCGCACCTGTCGGATCATTTACTATTCTCTTCTTGCTGTTTTCTGGTGTTTATTGCTACTTGGTCCTTTTTTTCTCCCAGGTTAATCTCATCTGCTGTCATTTCTTTCAGTGATGTCTACCATGCATCTGTGACTCCATCCCAACCTCTCTTTGCATGTGGTCATCCTTCCTTCAGCCAGTCAGTCAACAAGATAGTAGCCCACTCTTTAACATACTACTTCTTGAGCCATCACTGGGCATCAGATGCTGTGCTGGATGCTGGGGTCAGAGAACTCAACAAATCAGATGTGGTTCTTGTTACTTTAGAGTAGAACAGACATAGATTTAGTCAGTACGCAGTAAACACCTCCTGACAAAGGCTCCAGCCTAATTTGAGCTAAAGACTGGGGAGACAGTGTGAGCCATCTGGGCATAGGCCTCTAGAGAGGTGTGTTTGAGGAGACAATCAGAGGCTGCAGAGAAAGGTGCAGTGTAGCAGAATAAATGTCTCACGTGCACTCATTTAACAATCCTAACCACGTTGCGAACATGATACTAATGTTATCCACATCTGGCAAATGGTAACAGGGGTAAAAATAAGTAAGAACTTCCTTTGGGAAGAGTGAAGCTGGGGTTCAGAACCACACAGCCATTTAAAGATTTGTTTTTATTTTTAATTATGTATACATGTGTGGAGGTATGATGATTGCAGGTGTCCACAGAAACCAGAAGCATCGGGTCACCTAGGAGCTGGGGTTACAGGTGGTTGTAAGCCACCCAGCATGGTTGCTGCGAAAGTTAACACTGGAGTAAATTCCAAAGTTCCCAGTGGGAATTCCAAAGCCCTTAGGAATCTGATGGTGCTTCATTTTTGGCTCCAGCCCCGTTTCCCCACCTGCATTATATGATCGCATGACTTTTTCTGTGCGGAATTGAACAAACCAACATCTGTCTATTCAGCTCAGATAGGAAAACAGTAGCCCAGAGAAATGATTCCACTCCTGTCTATCTTAGTGGACCAGTGAGTTTACTGGGATTACTTATGGGAGCATAGGAGAGGGGGTCCTTACAGGAGCGTGAGTGACCCAGAGGCAGCCACACCCCTGAAGAGCCCACCCCAGCATGGGCGATGACTCACGGAAACACAATCCCTGGACCTCCTGCCTAACCTGCAGGCAGGTTGGTGTGTTGGGGAGTCTTCTTTCTCTGCTTATGTAACCTTGTGAATCTTCTAAGTTTCAGGAACTTCCTGAACCTTGTGCATTTTATTTCCTGCTTCTTTCTCTGCTTATATAACATTCTGGAGGGACCTTGTGAATCTTCTAAGTTTCAGGAACTTCCTGAACCTTGTGCATTTTATTTCCTGAGGTTTTGGAGTCTCTTTCCTCCTTCCAGGAGAGGCTATTTCAACTCAGAGGAAATAACTACACAACAAACCTCCAGCCTCTTGTACTCTGTGGGAAACAATGACAGCTAAAGGTCACCATGGTTACCCGCCCATGCTGTTCCTGCCCTTGTCTTTTGCTGGACCAGTAATGCAGGGTTTCTTCCTCTGCCTGCCTCCACCCCATCTGCTGAGATAATTTTCAAGGCCCAGGTGTATATTCTTTCTAAATGTCCCTAAGTCACCTCTTCCCATATTCTCCAAAATTAATTCGTTTTCCTCAGTGCTTGGGGAGGATGCTACCACAGAGTGATGTGATAGAAAGTGTTTGACTGTGGCATCAGCAGACCACAGCTGTTTGGGAGTAGTAGTTGGTTACTACTGCTATCTAAGGATTTTAGGACAAGCTTCTCCATCTTCCCAAGCTTCTAATTCCTCATTTATAAATGGGTATATTTACCCTGAAGGGCTAGTATGGAAAGTAATTAACCCAGTATCTAGCACATAGCAATTAACAAAGAGCTGTTGTGATAGCTGTTGTTGTAGCTAGGAAACTCACTGTTAGGTGCTGTAGAAAAAGGATTTTTATTTTGGAATATTGCTTTTTAAAAATTATTTCAGCAAGGCATGGTGGCACACACCTTTAATCCCAGCACTCGGGAGGCAGAGGCAGGCAGATCGTTGTGAATTCAAGACCAGCCTGGTCTACATGGTGAGTTCAGGTCAGCTGGGACTACAGGGAGACCCTGTCTCAAAAAGACAAAAAAAAATTATTTCATTATGCTAGGCATGGTGGCATATGCCCCTTTAATCCTAGCCTTCGGGAGGGAGAGGCAGGTGGATTTCTGTGAGATCAAGGCCAGCCTGGTCCACATAATGACTTCCACGCAGGCTGGGGCTATGGAAACCCTGTCAAAACAACAACAACAAACAACAATTATTTCATTGTGTTTTAGATAACAGTCTGAATACTCACTGTCGTAATAATAATAGAACATTATAGCACCGTAGATCGACCTGGCTTCCTCATTTTCCTTTATTCTTTCTTTTCTAGCCATGGTAGAAGGAGCTCCACGGTTGAACATGGTTGGCCTTTTTCGCAGAATAGTTTCCAAAGAAGGAAAATCAGGACTTTATAGAGGCATCACCCCAAACTTCATGAAGGTGCTCCCCGCTGTTGGCATCAGCTATGTGGTGTATGAAAATATGAAGCAGACTCTAGGGGTGGCCCAGAAGTGACATGTCGAAGCCTTTCCTTTTGTATGATGACTGAGATTTTCAGTGTTCTCTGCGGCGACTTCTAGAATGACAGGAAGTCTATTGAAAAGAAGCTGTTTGTTTTCCCACAAAGGGGAAGAGTATATCATGATCACGTCAAACGTTTGGGCTCAGTTTTAGATCTTCAGTACTGTTAAAAATCATAGTTTTCATAAGTTTGGAGGAACCCACAAAATTGTACTTTATCTTTTTCTAATCATCCCTTCACCAGATCTGTGTCCTTCACCGTAAATCTGAAAATGTACTTGCATGAGCTGAATTCACTTTGTGTGGTAGAATTTATAAACCACTAGCCTTTATTTTTATTGACTAAGCTTCCATCAATTCCTTTATACTAAATTTCTATTTTAAAAACCAAAATGATCAGAAAGGCTTGAAACTTAAATTGTTTTATGTATATTGAATGTTTTTATACACTTCTTAACATCCCCTTACGGGATCATTACTAGAAAAAATTTTGATCCAAAGAGAAATTATGGACTTGTGTTTACAACTCATATTCTACCTTCATACTTGTATTACTGATGCCTGATGCTGTGTCAGTAGTTTTATACTATGTGAAAAGCAAGGGACTGTACTTTGTATTTAAAATAGACCTTGTAGCAATTGGGTATAGGGTTTATATCTTCATCTCTAAATTGGGTAGGGATGAATTATCACAGCAAAATTTCTGTGGAGGAGCACTGAGATGATATTTATTTCAGTGCACACTTTTCCATTTTACTTGGATTGTTATTTGGTACCTGAGATTAGACACTGATTACTGCAGATTGTTATTGTTAAATTATCAATACAACACGACGTATCTGAAAGATCACAGTCTGTCATTGCTTGAAAAGCAGGAGGAAGGAAAAACTGTTGGCGCTGCTAGTTCCTGAAGAGCATCTTGGTTCTCTTCTTTGTTTCTGACTTTTGAATCAAATCCTGCCATAATGAGGGTGGTTCTTGGGAGCCTCGTGGTAATTTGAAATGTCTCTTCTCATGAAGTGTTGGTTGTGAGTTGTACCTCGTTTCCCTCTCACTGTGGGGAATTTTTTGAACCTTCCCTTCTGAAATTGGACAGCACAATGCTAAGCCATTAGCACATTTTGAGAGTAGTATATATTAATCGTATGTCTTTAAACAGCAGGCCCAGTGTGTAAACATGTAATCCACATTTTCACTTGCCTCAAGTTTTAGAAAGACAATAAAAACTTAATTTACAGTATCAGTAATAGTAGTTAAAAAATTACTAAAACTGTTTTATAGTCATCTCTCTTATGATTTACTTTATTAGAACTTAGAAAAATTTACTGATTGAAGATACTCATTGCATTTTAAAATTTAGCCCATAAGCTCATTTGGGCTCTAATCATTTTATATTTGCCACCATTTTCATGAAACTCTGGTGAGAGGAAAAGCTTTTACTTTCTTGGAACCTACCTCTTTTATTTTTTGAAACAAAGAGAAATTATGGACCTGTGCTTATGATACATATTCTATCTATTACTGATGCCTG